TAAGTAAACTAAGAAATATTGAGAAAAAGGATTAAAAAAAACCTGTTTAAATATTTTTTCATTTGAAACTGTTTCTTTTTTTTGAACTCAAGAAATTTTCCGGAATTTTGACTTGGGCTTACAATCACCCCTGTTAATGGTTAAAGAGTTTAACGAGGGCCAATACGGCCCACCCTCAGTCCTTTCGCAGAGTCGATCCAAGTAATCACCACCAGTACACTGACCGAAGCCAATAATGCTTGACTTTGGTGTTCTACTGGGAATCGTACAATCAGTCCACTGTGGGACAAAAAAAGTTAGTCATGAAAAAACGTGGTACTGGGATTGAGTAGACCGCACACCTAACTAGAATAGAGTGGTAATGGGACAAAAGTGCAGACTTGTCTACTTTCCTGCATTTTTTGGGAAGACTTCCGATTTCTAAATCTCCCACTGTTCGGAAATTGTCGAAATTTCTATCAATCTGGGGACAAAATTATTAAATTATCATTCTTCTCCCATAAGGAAGTTTGTTTTCCTTACCCGTTAATTTATGCGCAGATTACTGAAAAATCATGTTTAATTGCTTTTTTTTTAAATAAAAAATAAAACTATAATCAGTATCAAATTTTGAAGAAATTTCAGTCTTTACATTTTTTAAGATTTGCACTCAACCTGAAGCAGTTAAACACACATCCTAATTTTATGCCTCTTATCTTCGTAATTACAGTAACACGCCCAAGTACATAAGAATGTACTATAGTACAATGAAAACTGTTAAATAAAAAGTCAGATGGACAAATGAGTTTGTGAATATGAACGCACATAAGCTCTGATTAACGTTTAAAAAAAAAATCCACTGACTTCAAAATTTCTGCTTTAACAGGCTACGACTCCAAAGAGAAAAATCTGGAAAATTCAACGAATTTAAAAATCATTTAAAATAACAGGTAAATTTCAGAGAGTTTATTTTCAACCAACAACTGAAAGCGTGATAACTATAAGATATTTAAAGATCAGCTATACTATACTATTTCATTATTTGTTATAAATATGTTGAGTTGTTTCTTATTTCTCAAAGTATTTCCTGCAATTAGAAGTAGTATCTATATCTTGTCCTAGGTAAGGCAGTCGTGGCCGAGTGGTTAAGGCGATGGACTCGAAATCCATTGGGGTTTCCCCGCACAGGNCACAGGTTCGAATCCTGTCGGCTGCGGTAATTTTTTCCCTTGAAAATCCTCTACGAGGATTTGAAGCGGAAAAAAAGACGACCTCATTAGAGCCAAAAACTCTAGTGCGAATGACCTTATTGCTTATTGTAAAGATTTTATTGTAAAACCATATTGTGAATGACCTAGGCCACACCTTCAAACTTTCTTTCACCCCATATCATCCATAAATGTATTTTAGTAATTGACCTGAATTTTTGGGAGAGTTACTAGATCATTAGAAACAAAAACTCTATAGTCAATTCATTGATATTGTGTAACATATTTTTCTAATGTTTGGAAATCATCGTTTTTTTATAGTTTTTTTGTCAAAAACCTGTACGCATTTGAGACAAAAACTACTTGATAAATTTTTACTATTAGTGATTTTAAAATTTTGTTTTTAATGAAATCTAAGTTGCTACGTTATTAGAATTACTACATCAATAGGAACAAAAACTTTATAGACTTCATTGCTGTAACATATTTTTGGGAAGTTTGAGAAAAATCATTTTTTTTTTTTTACTTTTTCAACTGTATATTTATCTCTTTTAGTATGATACAACCTATGTCAAATTTTAATCATCTCTGTTACCTGTCTTTTATCCTACTGAGGACGGTGTACCATTATGACATTGCAACGCGTATAGATTTTTGTCAAAGACAAAAACTTTTGATAAATTTTTACTATTTGGGATTTTAAAACGTTGATTTTTGTGGAATCTAAGTTACGATATCATTAGAAACCAAAACTTTATTGAGAACGACTTTATTACTGTAACATATTTTTCTAAT